TGCTGTAAAGGAGTGGGGGTGGAAGGCTGGTGTGTTTTGGTGGTGGTGGGTTGTTGGGTTGGTTTATTTTAATAAATCAGCTTAGTGCAAATGGATATTAAAACCAATAATGCCTAGAAGGGCATTTACAAGTCTGGCTTCTGCTCAGCTGCATTTAGGATTTTGGTCCTGGGAAAGAATCTCTGAAGAAAAAGCAAACAAGTTGTGCAAACGACCTGGGATGCAGTTCCCTTAGGCCTGAGCGAGGCTGTGCAGTTTGTACACTGAAGGGCTCTTCTATATTTGAGTCTCTTCTCTTGTACTGCCATCTCTCAAAGGTGCTAAATCACACTTTAGAGAGAGCCTGACTCAGATGGTCTTTTCTGGCAAGTAAAACAGCAGTTATTTTCATTACAGCCTGAAAGAAATAGCAGCACTGATACGTGGTTCTGCCAAACAACAGAAAAATTTCATTGGAAGCTTTTAAGAATGGGAAATTAAACTGGGCAGTAGACTGGCACACAATGGATTAACTCTTTCAAGACAAACAGGGAAGACAAAATTGGAACCATGTTTTACTTTTGCTCTCCATTAGGTTTCTCAGTCCCCTGGGAACATCACTAAGATAGCAAAAGCCTTGTAGTGTAAAGCAAAGCAAAAAAAAAAAAAAATTAACAATCCAAGAAGCTTTTAATTTGGAAGCGATCCACAATGTTTTCCCACAACAACTTTAAATGAGATTTCAAATTCATTCTGGTACTCTACTCTAGATTTTAAACTCTGCCTGAGTTACCACTGAAGCTTTATAAATAGCTATTTATCTGTAAACTTGAGAGGTAAAGCCTTGTGCTTAGGTAACATTAATTCATTCCATCCGTAGTTAAGGGAGCCTTTCTTGAGTTTTGCATTGGAAATAAGTATTTGTACAGTCACAAGAATGACCAAAATGCATAACTATAAACCCATTAAAAAGCAGGAATTCTATCATGTCAATCTGTATCCACACTTACTTGCTCGTTTATATAGACCCTTTTTTGCCAAGCACAGTCAAGGTAACCTGGACCAGCAGCAGCAGGAAGAGAAAAAACCATCAAGCAACAGGACAGCGAATACTCTGAGGCAGGAGCGATAGCACACCCAGAGTGGGAGCATTTATACAGGAGTCAGTCTAGGAGCAGCTGAACGTTTTACGTTCAGTGCTTTCAGCGGTATCCACGCTGAAGCCGGGCTGACGCCACATTTTTCATCATGCACATCTGTATTCATCACATCCAGCTTTCCAGCATCAGGGCTACCCTCCCTAAACCGCTGCCCCTACTCCAGGAGAGCAGACTGGGCTGCGTGCTAACGCAAAGCGAGAAAAAGCCAAACCTTCTTTACGCCACAAAGAGGAAGCACAACTCAAGTGTCCAAGGCAACGGCCAACCTATAACTCTGAGAGTTTTCCTCCTCTCTCACACACACAGAAGAGGGCCGGGATCTGGTGTAGGTCCCCTTCCTTTCCTTTCTATGTTTTGATTATTCAGCACTGATAACCAGCCCAAGACAAAGAGCCCACATATGGTACAGAACATCACTGCACAATCTCCTGAGCTTTGCTTTACTAGGCTGATTTTTCCTATCACATTAACAAAGTTATTCTCCAGCCTCTATGATCCCTGGGACTTAACCTTTTAAAAAGCCCACCGAATATGTGGTAGGAACAATGCTCAGTGGGACACTTCAAATCCCTTCTCACAACTTCCAATGCTGCAGAGCAAAACCTCGCCTCTGTCACTGCAGCATACAGACACTGAACCAGTTCAACCCCCACCAGTTTCCATTTGTCTCAGAGCACAGAGAAGTAAATTTGTGGGCAATCACATGCACTTCCTTCAGATTAGCTGTCAGTAGAGTTGTGGTGGGTTCCTGACAAAGTCAGCATGACCTTCATACAGCGTCTGCTGGATGATCCCAAGTCACCAGCCTGGCCAGACTGACTGCGACTCCCCACTGCCAGCAGAAGCTTCAGAGACAGCTGCCGAGCAGGTCACTGCGGAGAGATGTTCCCTTTCCTAAGGGCAGCTCCCCAAAGGCTGCAGAGAAAGAGGAGGAGTCTTGACTTAAAGCAACGATGTTTTCTTACAACTCGTCCAAATGCCTCACCTTAGGATAACTAAAGCAGTCTATCTTTAAAAAGCAGATACAAAGCATTGCACTGATCGCAGCTTCACTTTTCACTGATGAGGTATTCCTGTGTCCTGAACACAGAAGAATACAAAGCTGCTTCACAAACGTCTGTAACATGATCCTTGCTTATTTGTTTTGCTCTGCAAGCCACTTATCCCCTTGTGGATATACTTTTATTTCAACAGATGGAGAAAGCCAAGCGCCCAGTACCACACCTCCCTGCTCAGGAAAGTCTCACACACTTTCAAACAGGAAGCTACTATTGGACCCTGGAAGAGGAACACAACCAATTTTTGAGGTTTGATCTTAAGACTCATGTCATTACAGTTCTTGGGGACATGTACTTGTTAGGGCTGTGCCATCCTGAAACAATCTCCTCTTGGAGAGGAGTCCACATTACCAAAATGTAAAGGAAAAGATTTTCATGTGTTACCAATAAAAAAAGATAAAAGGCATTGGTCTGAAAGAGAACCAAGGGAAACCTCAAAGTTCTGCCTTCAATTTCGCAGTCATTTCTGAGCCAAAAGATGTTAAATCTAGCAACAGATTTCAAATGAAAGCTTTAGATCTTTTTATCCCATCTCAGACAGGGCAACTAAATATATCCTCATACTACAACCATCTAAAGTTAAGATAATTCATTATCAGGAAGGGAGAAATGAAACACCATGGAATAAGTTACAAAAATATCACAAACAACCCCCTTAAAGTGTCTTTGGAGGTTGCCTACTGTACTGCAAGAAGTTTTATTTAACCAGGGGAAGATGGAATAAAACTTCAGAGTCTCTGAGGTCTGTAATCACAACTGACATATCCACAAGGAAGCTCCTCATACCCCATTAAACACTATCATCTCAAGGATAGGAGTAAAGGCAGCAAAGCTGCCAAGGTTTTTAATCGCATTCTGTGCCAAGTGAAAAGCTTGAATTTCACACAATCCCTTCTCCACTCAAGAGTTTCTAATGCCAGTTTCAAGCAGTAGCCTGATCAGCACTAATTATCTCAGACGTTAAGGACATCAGTGCCAGACTGCCATCCTTACCTGTCCCAACAGCACACAGAATGTTGTCACATCCCAAGTCATCAAAGCACACGCACAGTCTGGGAAGGAAAGCACCCACTGTCCCGCGGTTAAAAAGAATCAATGGTGAGCCTCCGCTAACCGCTGACCAGCCAGTAACAGCTGCTACAAAACTTGAGGAGGTTCAATATTCCACAGATTTGCTCAGCATGGGCTATATTTTACCACCCCCAAGGAGTTCACTCTTGTTTCTGGTTTAGGTACGTGCAGGTCCTACAAAAACATCAGGTGTTTTCCTCAAGAGCCAGGACGTAGAAGTAAAGAGAAGGAAGTTCAGACTTCACACACACTACCTTGACCGGGGCTGAGCTGATGTAAAACTCAAACACACACCATAGCTCAGGTTTACATACAATTCAAATGTAACAGATCAGAGAAGGAAGCCTGGTTCACAGGAGATGCACCAGACACCAGCTACCCAGAAAGTACTTGCCTGAATGTTAATGTTTGCCCACAGAAATACGTAGGAGCTTTCGAGTAGAGCACACCGCACGACTGAGAATCATTTCGAAGTGCTATGTTTCTTCGACTGCTCAAGCTGTAACCCTCCAAACCAGTTGTCCATTCTTAAAAAAAACAAACAAAAAACAGTGTGAATCTCAACTAGACCAGCTACTGCCTGTGCAAAATAAAGTGAGTCGCAATATCCACTCACATTACCTCATAGGAAGCTTAAGCTATGTTAAGAACAGGGGCTGGTTTTGCTGCCTTCTGATGGAAAGATTTCTTTTTCAAATCATTCACAATTACAAAAAATATTTCCCAGCTCACAGGATTCATCAGAATTTCACTCTTTGCTGCGATCCCCGCAAAGTCTTGTAGGCAAAGGAAAACCTTCATGACCCACTGCCCTTAAAAATTTGCAAGTGAAGATAAAACTTAGGTTTTTCTCTCTCCAAGATAAGAGCTTGTTATGTGACTGTAGGTTATCAAACAATGCTTAGGTAGGGGTGAGGGACAAGGGAAAGACATGATTCGCTTCTGGCTCACTGATGCTTTCCACGGCTAAGCAGCAAGCTACCTGCTGAAAGGCTCACTAACTACCCCTCATGCTACGAAGCAAAGAATAAATTGTAGGATGAAAGGACAGTTCATCATACATTACACACATACATCATAGCTAAGGACACACCATCGTCATACAAAGAGCAGCTTCCATAAGTGATTCAGGACTGCTGCTCTGATGACACGGGCTTAAGATGAAGAGCAACGAAACAGTACCGTGGGGAACTAGCGTGGTACGGCCGATCTGAGGAACACTCCACGGACTCCACTCTTGCCGTCCATCTCCTCGGGCACAGACTCTGAACTGGTAATCAACATTAGGATCAATATGCAGCACTATGAACTCTGTCTCCGAGCCAACATACACATCTTCAAACTGACTGGCAGTACTCTTACGATATTGCAGCCTGTAATCTTGTGGTATGAAGTCATCATCCACCTAGAGAAACATTTATTTCATTAATAAAGGACCCTCTCTTTTTTCCCTTTTGCCTCTGAAGCAGCACATACTAGGGTAATACTGCAGGCTGTCAAAGGCGATTCAGAGTCACAAGGTATTAAAGAGCAGAAAGCATGCCTTATAGAAAATAAAATCAGTGTCTGAACCAACTAATACAAAGTTTTATAAGAATGATTTGCTCACAGTTTAAAAGGATCTATAGGAGAAGAAACATTTAACAGAAGGTTATTCAATCTAGCAGAGACATAACAAGATCCTTCAGCCAAAAGCTGAAGATAAATTTGCAGAAGAAATTCAGCACCAATTTTTAACAGCAAGGGAAACTCACTGTTATCCTTCATAAACTGTTCCAGGGAATAATTTCCAATTCTTTGATCTGTCCAAGTCAAAAGAGATTTTTTTAATTTTTTTTTTTCACCCCACAAAAGCTCCACTATCCCCCAAATATGATCAAATTCAGGGAACTCGCCTATAGCATAGCAAACCAGACCACACATGACAACAGTGCCTATGGTTTTATAATCTGAGTCCACATCCTTTACAAGGTAAGGGTTGCTGACCAGTGGCTGGCTCTTGCTAGAACTACAAAAGTTTGTTTAATGCTGCCAAGGAGCACAGAGCTGTCCAACAACAACCAAACCACATCAGAGCACAGCAGTGACTTACTCAAAAATAGGTTTTTGTGTATTGAAAAGCTGTTTGACAAGGTAATGCCAATATTAAAATATTTTCTCTTTCTGTCCACTGCCTCTCCCTAAGAACACAAACACGTTCAGGGGTAAAAGCATAACAGAACAGCTTCAGCCTCAGCCTGGGTCTGCTAAAGTGTCTTCAAAGGGAACAAAAGCATGACCCCAGCACTGAAGTCCAGTCTCACTGAGAGCATCTGGCAGTTGTGCCACACAAACGAACCACTTGCTTCCACAGCGCAAATGGCTACACGCGGATCACCGCCGTCAGAAACACACACACTAGGATTTCTTGGTCTTGTTTGTACAACAGCATCACATACAGATTACTCTCTACTATTTACTTTAGTGGGAACAGTACATGAAGGAGGCGTTTCTTGCTTGTCCAGTACCTGACTGTTGCTTAAGCACAGGAAGCCGGGGTAGCAGTGTTTTCAGCTGCCCCTCCCAACTTTTCCACATGTGGGGAAGGAGTTTGCGAGGCAGAGGCACGTTAGCCTGTTGGCCCTTTCGACCTGCAGATGGGAGCAGGTAGAGTCCAACAGGAAGATTCTAACACACAAGCGTTACTGCCAGTGCCAACCACAACATCACCAGATTACCTTGCCTTTAAATGAGGCTATTAGGATAAAAATCTCTTCTAAAGTTTCTAACTACACACTGAAGTGGACTGTTCCTTTGAAGGCAGTAGAGAATCCAGAACGAAACTGGCTTTTTCAGTTTATTCCAACAAAACTGAAGTCTGAATGATTTTCACCCAGGACATTTTACCTACCTTACACCATCGGACTAAAATACCCCCAGGCTTCTCAACAAATTCCTCTAGCTGTACAGGTGGGCGCGATGCCACAGTTCCGTGTCTGAATATTTGATTTTTCAATATAGTAAGAAGGCAGTCATCCAACTGGGCAGACAAACAAGGCACGTCAACCAAGGAGGGCACTTCTGGTAAGCTGAGAAAGGAAAGTTTGCTGTAATGAAAGGGGCCAGCTTCTACAAATTCATATTTTGTCCATACACTTGAATCTGTGCAGATTTGCAAAGAGAGAACAGCTGCAGAAATTGGCATGTGCATTTCAAACTTAAAAGACTCCGAAAACACAGTGTTTCAGCCCTAACCAGACTGTTTCTCAGTAAATACTCTGAAATACAGGCTGTTCCACAAGGAGCGGTTTCATCATTCACAAATAAACAGCCTACTCCATTCTGTGACTGCCAGCCCCAATGAAAGTCTATGAAACAAACAGGACAGTAGCACCTCAAATCAATCTTTTAAGGCAATGGAGCAGAAAGCTTTTGTTTCAAAGGAGAAAAGATCCCTATGCAGCTGCCTCAGATCACCTCAGTGTGTCAGTATCTTACCTATCTAGCTGAATATGTAAAGCTTTTTTTGTAAAGCTGCAAAGTTTCTCATTCTGTTGTCCCACATCTCCATGGACTGCACTCTCTCCTGGAATCAAATGGTAAAAATATTCCTAATGAGAAAACGTCCAAGAAAGGCATTCTTTGCTTCAAAAGAAGAACCGGTTCTGACATGAACAACCAATTAAACATGAAGCATTCTCAGCGCTTTTGCTAGACTCTTAGCTAGAAAATACAATTATAGTTAACAAAATAAAGCCTATCTAGCAACTTTTGAAGCTCTCAAAGTTTCCTGTAGACACACCCATAACAGATGTAATAATTTGCCTCAGGTCTCAGACAGTAGCAGAACTGGGGTCAGATGCCAGAAATCAGGATTATTAATCCCTTCCTCCACCTGCTTTAAAGGAAGAAAAAAAGCAAAGCACCTTTGCTGAGCAGAAAATATAAAAGCAGGAGCTTAAAAGCAAAAAATAAATTTCAACCACTGTTCTGTTTGCTACAATCTAAATGGTAACTATTGTCACAGCAAAGGAAATAATCCATGCATTAAAGTGCAGAGATAAACAGAAATCTTTTCATAAGCTTTCCATACAAAGTAGCGTCCACACTTCAACTTACAGAGACGTATGCTCCACTCTCCTATCTGATGACTTTTTGGTAATTTACAACATAAGCAAGCTCAGTCCTTTTCCAAATGGAGGATTACGAATGTTACAAATCTCTAAAGAAAAGCACACGTCATAATTGGCAGCAGGAGATTTAATAACCACGGAGGCTTAACTCCTTTCTGACTCAGATGCAATGTCTTTCATTTTGACAACATGACTTAGCAATGCTTCTACTGTGACAGGGGAGCGGTGACCCACAAGATAGGAAGCACACAGCTAGTCAGGTTCTCATGAGATCTGATAGAAACTTCTATAAATCACAGGCAATCTTGGCCACTACCCTGTGATTCAGTAACTTGAGACTTAAAATAAAAACAAGGTGACTATCAGCTGTCCCAGAGGTTGTGGTGCTAGGGGGAAAAAAAAAAATACAAAACAGTAAATTAACTCTTAAATACTGACACTGCTCCTGTGAACAGGAGGCACAGAGCTACCAAGCCAGCATGATCTGTAAGCACAAAGCTCACGTCTGAGTGGGAGCGGATAGATTTCCTATCCAAGGGAGACTGCTCAATGCACTTTAGTTCACAAAACTGAGATCATGCTGAAAGAAAGTTAAAGTTGAGACATGAGAACAATGCAAGGAAACTGCCAACATACTCATGGCTCAGACATGCTCCCAGCAGGTTCTCCAGTGTGGGGTGAACAGTAGAGAGTGACATTCCTTTCTGGCTAGGTAGCATCAGTAGGGCACAGACTGGCCCTTACAATAATATTCCACATGTGTATTTTTGTCTGCCTCATCCTCAGACTTTTGGGAGAAATTTTTCTCACAGAGTGGCCATTCCATTCTTCATGTTCCCCATCAACAGTGCACATAATCACACTTACCAGGAAAGATAATCTATTTACTTCAGCTGCTATTCCATTAAGATACAAATAACTTTCTTCAACCCACAGAGACATTTTGTTTTTATGGTACCCAAGATGTTTTTTATTTCAAAATAGCCTGATATAATCCTCCTTCTAGTGTGGAGGGGTGCAGGACGTCTCTGCAGCGAGACATTTCCAAAGTACTTCCTGCCCCTAAGGAGAGGCTACACTGACACATGCACGCCCTAGGATTGGAATGAAATATTAAAATACAGATTTGTAGGAGATAATATTGACCAGCTCTTCACTACATCTACTCAACTTTAACCTTTTCTTAACATTCGGTTTGAGAGAAGTCCAAAATGAGCCAAATATGCTGATCATAACAGGAACTGGAAGGTAGAGCTAAGACTTAGTATTGTGTCCTGCCTTACCTTCCCGGAGCAGATCTTCAGCCGTACTGACTCCATGCTCTATTAGCTTCTGGCATTCATCCAAGGGTTTGATGCTTTCTTGTTCTATAGCATCCACTTCCTGCAGCAGTGATATCAGTCGCTCATCCAACAGCTTCTTTAGAGTCCCTTTCAAATCATTAAAATGTTGCTCAAGTACATCTCTGGTCAATGTTGCACTTTCTCTGATCTAAATTCAGGTAATGGGAAAGAAGGATTCAGGATAAAGGCAAAGGCCGTGCACATCTTTTAGTTTTCTGAACCACCTCATCTGCATCTGCTGGAGAAAGGCTGCCTGTGAAGTCAGCTTTAAGAAAAGGACCACTGGCAGGTAACAAACTAGTATAGTTGGTTTTTGTACACGTACAGCAGGGAAGGAGGCAAAGAAACTAGCCCGGACAAGGCAAAGAGAGTATTAAGTAAGCAAAACACAAATTGAGTTACACATACTTCAATCAAGGAATTTTTCTTGTCAGAAAAATTGCCCCCCCAAATTGCTGTAATCCTGTTCAAAACCCACTCTGCCATCATATACAGGCAATCCTCATCGGAAAGAACAAGGTATCAGGCTTTTAGAAGACTACCTAGAAACACTTTTCCAGGCCCTATCACTTCACTGGATTTTTAAAATCCCCGTAAAGCGCTTTTTTTTTTTGCCTTTTTTTTTTTTCCTCCAAATAGCCACCTTTGATTTGTCTATGCTCCAAGGTTACAGGGCAGGGTGAACAGCAAGTCTGTTTTGATTCTGGAAGAACTAGACCACAGAAGGTTCTACAAGTGCTTATTAAAATGTCTGCAAACTTGCTGAATCTGACTTTTAGGGAAGAAAACACATTTGAACACTCCCGACCTAAAGATGCAAAAGTAAGAAGTAAACATCTCCGTACGAACAACATTTCTAAGTCACTCACACGAGGAAATGCTGCAACACGCACACGGCCGTAGGTGTAATTTCTAGATCTTTAGAAGTACAGACAACCAACACAGGAAGTTCTCTGGTTAGGTAAAATAAATTTCCTCTTTAAGTAATATTCATGAATGTCTGCAGCTGCCACACAGCTCAATTTCCCTTTTCTTGTTATTTCAATGCTTGAGGGAAAAAAAGGAAGTATTTAGCTTTGTGAAGGGGTGGAGTGGAGGAAGGCAGAAGTCACTTCTCTAAGCCCATTACCTCCATTACATGCAGATACAAATTCAACAAGTCAGCCTCAGAATTACAGATACTACTAGATAGGCAGAAGAGGAAATGCAAGTCCCTGAACACCCAGAGCTGCACGAAGCTTGTTGAAAATCGTGTCCCATTGGTCCAAAAGAAAAGGATGCAACGTCAGTGATCTAAACTGCTTTTCCTACCACATCGGCCCATCAGTCCCCAAATAACAAAGCTTCTGCTATCTGAACCCCAGTCTGAGACATTCAGCACTTCTGGACACAGGGAATTCTTGGATGTGTGTTGCATGGCAGACTCTCTGTGGACAAAACAGCATGTGGTCCTGAAGAAAGAGAGAAACCAGAAATGTGCACGCAAGCAAAGAAATTCTCCCAGAGAGGGAAAGGAAAGAAAGGTAAGGTAAGGTAACTAACTGCTCTGCCACTGCAGAAAGGCAAACTTGCTCCCTCTCAATGCATCCCGAGTTATCAGGCAATGCTCTGAGATGACAAGGTTTGGATTAAACGCAGTCACGAACAATTCATTTTCTTAAATAGCCTGCAGTTTTGAAGATGACTAATTTAATGTACAGCGATTGCCCACATTCACTCAGTACCAGGACACCAGCCCAGCAGATTTATAGCAGCTTGCTATGCTAATGGCATCCACTTCAGAGACATGATCAGGTCACCACAGAAACATTTTCAGAGTTTGGTTTGGTTTTTATTTATTTGAAAGTTGAATCAAAGAGAGCAAGATATTGGCTCTAGTCTGCAAAAAATAAAGTGCTTAGAAGATGTCTTAGCAGAGAAGCCAGTCCTTCGTGGGCTCTCTGTAATCCCTACCCATATTTGCATATCTTATCATGCATCTTCAGAGCAGAGTGGGTAGGTTACTGGTCCCAATGAAAACTCTCCAGTGCACAGCTGCAGAAAAACCAGCTAACCTAGAATGTTGGCAAACACTTATACGTGACCCACAGAGTACGTGACCCACAGAGTTTGGTGCATGGGGACAGCAGAGTTCAGGATAGCATCCAACCTAGAGAACAACTTGCCTAGGCAGAAATCTTTAATATGTGAGGGGAAGACAACAGGCATGACAATCGCTATATAATAAGACTTAGCATCCCAACTACTTTAGAAAACATAGCTCCTTTACGCATCTTTATTCTTGTCTAGGAAATCTCCCTATCAACCCAGAAAAATCAGGCTCAGCTCAGCAACAGATTTCAACCTGTACCCCTGTCTTCCTGGCACTTTCCGATCCATCCATTCCCAAGTCCTCCATCTCCGGCACCTGCAGAGGCAACACGCAGGTTTCCCTGGGGCGTGCACAGAATTAGCGGGGTGACCGCAGCCTTCACCCACCCCACGTCCTGCGGGGTTCCCTCTCCCTCCCCGAGCCCTCCGCGTCCCCATCCGAGTCCCAACAGGCTGCTCCGCGCACACTGGGGCTCCACAGAAAACCGCGGCTCCGGGGGCTCCCGGGTGAGGCGCCCGGGACGAGCACTAC